GACGGAGATGAAGGCTCTGTACCCTCAACCTGTGCCCCTGTGCTAAGGCCACCCTGTTCCAGTCCAGAGATGCGGTCAAGAAGCGCACCCCCATTCACCCCCACCATCACCTGGCAGCCCCATACAGTGACATCATCTCGGGCCATTTCCAATTGGTGGCCAGCTTCTGCATGGCCGTTCCAATGTGCTCCTCTGCAGTGAGTGTGCAAACCCCGCTGCAGCCAGCTGCCAGGGCCAGCAGCTCCCGGTGGGGCTGCAGGCTGCGGTGTCACGGAGGCGCTGACTCGATGGAGTAGGAGAGGGTAATGGGGCAGAAAATGTGGGCTTGGCCGGCCAGCGGGGCCGCCTTCTTTACTGCCTGCATCAACAGCGCTCACTGTGCCCACCATGGATGGGGGACAGGGGAGGGATAGGGAGGGGCGGAGGGGGTGAAGGAGTGGGGCCGAGGGAGAAGAGGAGCGGGAAGGGTAAGAGAGGGGAAGGGGGAGAAGGGAGGAGGAGGATGTGGGGTAGATGGGGGCTGAGTCTGCCAGGAGCAGGGCATGCTGTTGAGAATTGGCCAAGGGTTGGGGGGGAGGGGGCTTGGATCTTGGACCACTCAGGATCCTTGAGCAGTAGCGTTTTGGGGGTGACTAGAGGGGTTGTGGGGACCATGCAGTGGAGCTGGAGTATGGCCCCCAGCTGTGGGCTCTCAGTCTCTTCCCCAGGGTGTCCTTTCCCTGGTATCCGCCATCATGGTCATCATGCTCTGCGGTAGCAGAGGGGACTGTGGGTGAGGGCTGATTTGGGGTTCCTGGGGCCTTTTCCATCCATGCTGTCTATCTGCACCATGGCTGGAGGTGGGGGTCCCTGCAGACTGGTCTCTGAGCCAGCCTCTATGGGTCCAGGGGCCTGGAGGACAGAGGCTGGACTGCAAGGAAGGTGGAGGCAGAGAGGATGCTGGGTGCCCAGTGAGGAGAGCCAGGTGGCCAAGAGTCTATGTGACCTTTCGCTGAGGCTGGGCCAACTGTGGGTGTCTTTGTGTTTAGTCCACTGTTTTTATTGTGTATGAAGACGAGGGGCTTAAAAATGTGGGGGTGGGGAAATGGAGCGAAAAGATAGCAACGACATCCCACCTGCATTTGGAAGCCCCTTTGTACCTGACCAGATTGGTTGTTTTGATCGTTTCAAAGTAAACAATTCCACAGCGCTGTGGGTACTCACCAGGAAGAGTAACCGTCACTGGTATCATTTCCAAAATATATCCACCCCCCAAACAGAAACCCAGCACCTGCAAACAGACACCCAGTACCTCTCACTCCCAGATCCTGGCTCCCGGGGGCCTCTTCTATTTCTGACCCCGCTTGGCATGGCCCGAGTACTCTGAGCGAGTGGAGTCATTCCTGGGAGGCCCTGTGACTGGCCTGGTTCTGCAGTCAGAACTTACTCCTTTACGGCAGGCAGAATGACAGTCCTGGCCCCACCTTCTAAGGGTGGCGGGGCACGGCAGCTGTCCGATGGTGCACAGGTCAGGCTGTCTGGGGTCTGGGAGACTCAGAACAGTGAGTCTGTGGGGAGGCTGAGGCTGAGGCTGGGGTGGGAGGGCCAGGCTGGCAGGATGCTCACTCTGCCCTCCTCTCTGAGGGGCTCTGGGGACTGCGCTGACAGGATGCACAGGGCAGGGGAGTGAGTGCTGGCACAAGGCGCTCTAGATTCTCCCCTCCCTGCTGGCTGGGGTGCTGGAGCTGGAGGTGAGGATGCTGTGGTGGGGGTCTGGCCCTAGTGTGTGGGTGAGCAGTCTCTTGCAGCCCTGTCTGGGCCCGGGCAGGTGGAG